GGGGGGGGGGGGGGGGGGGGGGGGGGGGGGGGGGGGGATTTCATTTCTGAAGTACTTTACTAATAAATAGCCACTATTAGGTAGGATACTTCACTGTTTGGTTAGGTATATCAGGCATTCATGGCAAGTCTAACCCAAAATTTTCCAATATATTTATTGAAAAAACTCTGCCTGTTAGTAGACCTGTGCAGTTCAGATCAGCGTTGTTCAAGGGTTTGCTGTAAACGCTACTTCCCATGAATTCTTGAAAGAACAATTAGAGGAGGAAACAAAACAAAACAAAACAAAACAAAACAAAACAAACAAAAAAACAACCCCAGAAAATATTACTCCTAAGCTGTGAGACCAGGCTGGAAATCCCAGCTAATACAAGCATACACGGCAATATTTTACAGCATAGTGATGGCACTGGTACACTGTATTATCACTTTCTGCAAATAACTGCAAACACATAATACAAATGGTGTAAAATTCCAACTTCATTTTAAGTTTGATATCTGAAATTCTCATCTTATTCATTTTATATGAGGGCACTTTAAAAAGTTCTTGGAAAAAGAGAATTGAAAGGTAATGTGAATCTTTCTATGAACTTTTTGGCAACCCCTCATACATTATTCAAAGTATCTGTTAGGTACCAGGGGAGAATTATAATAAAAGAATCCTCTATTCTTTAGCTAATTTTTAATATACCAATATTCTCAATGGCTTGACTTCCTCAGGTCAGAAATCTAACAAGTATTCCAACAATAAATTTTATCTAATGCACCATGTGTTGCATCCTCTATAACAGAGATACTCTAAGACACTGAATTTTTACTCCTGTTTAGATTAATAAAATAATTTAAGATAATTCATATATCTTAATTTATAGGCACTTTATATTAGAAACAGCTTAAAACTTTGTTAAAGAATAATTGAATGCAATAAAAGAGCTAAACCATAATAAACTGATTGTATTATTTTTATTAAATTATTCCTTTACAATAAAACTATTTTTTCTTACTAGAAAATCTGAATTCTCCAAAACAAAAATCTAAAATATAGGACTTTAAAACATCAGTCTAGGGCCGGCCCGGTGGTGCACTGGAGGGTGCACCGCTTGGGAGCGTGGCGGCGCTCCCGCTGAGGGTTCGGATCCCATGTGGACACCGGTTCCCGCTCACTGGCTGAGTGCGGTGCGGGCGCGGCACCGAGGGTTGCGATCCCGTTGCCGGTCCCCGGTACGGGCGCGACACCGAGGGATGCGATCCCGTTACCGGTCAGTAAAAAAGACAAAAAAAGGAAAAAAAAAAAAAAAAACACATCAGTCTATTTGTTCTGTTCTAATAGCTGATCCAGTATGGATGATCAAGTGGAAAAAAATTTTTATACTAGAAGTTTTCTAGAAGTTAGGGTGCTTCTTCTTATAAGTAAAATAAGGTTTACCTATTCAAAATGTAAGGTTATTTTGGTATTACTAGAATGTTAACATTATTGCTGACCAAATTAGATCTATATAAATTCAAGTTTTCAAGGATAGTTCCTATTTAGAATCCATGACAAAATTTGATATTTGTTCACACAAGGAAAAAAAAAAAATCAACAATATACAAAAAATTAATAAATATTTAAAAAATATAGACTATCTTACCAGTCTTGAGGCATAAGTTTAAGGGGCTGGTCTACTACTCTGTAGGGTACTGTGACACTAATTGCAGTGCCCCCTGGTTGTATCTGGTCTTTTCTTCTCTGTATTAGAGTTTCGTTTTCTCGTTGACAGCCTTGTTTCTTCTTTTCATCTGATGGAACAAATCTTCGAAAAAATAGAAATGAGAAAAAGTCAAATGTATTTTATGGGATGAAAATGGGAAAATAAGTTACATTTTGAAATAATTTTTTAAACATTAATAATTTCAAACTAAAAGCACTTATTTTTAAATAAACTTGCTCTGCATGTACAGATCATAAAGCTTGGAGAGTATGGGTCTTTCCTCTGTATGCCAAATAGAACTCAAGTTCACTTAGGCCCTAAGTTGATGTGTTGGGGTATGTGTATGTGTGTGTGTAAACACACAATTTATATTCATCCAAATAGCACTTAGCATTCTCCACATTAACCCTTGATTTCTCAAATGCTATTAGGGAGAAACTTGATTAAAAATCAAAAGGTCACTCGAGGGCTGGCCGGTTAGCTCAGGTGGTTCAAGCCTGTTGTTAAAACACCAAGGTCAAAGCCTGTTGTTATAACATATACGGCCGGCCATCAAAAAACAAAACAAACAAAATATCAATATCATCAAATATCAAAGTTGCTTTGAAAATTTTAAATTAGGAAAATTAAATTGGTATACGCCAATAGTCTATTTTAATAAAATAGTCTATTTTAATAAAATAGTTGATGATACTAGTGGTATTTACCAAGTCGACTTATGTGGTTCAATTCTTAAGATTCTCAAAAATAATTTAGCAATCTAGAGAGTTGTTAGCAGCTAGTTAGAATTTCCCAGTGCTCACAAAGTGTTTTAGAAGTCTTATTTTCTAATTATACATAATCCTAACATAGTCTGTTAGCATATTTTATTGGCTATGGTCTAGCCCCTCCAATTAAATGGGAGCAATACAATAGCTGCTTTGAGTATTATTCTGCTTCTAAAGTTTAGGAGAGATGAAAGGACAAAGATGCATGAAAGCTTCCACATGGTACAGTACCTTGAAAAATTTCAATACCAAATGTTAAATTCACTGTATAGTAATATTAATTTTGTAGTTTTGAAAATTTTTACTACACAATGATAATACTAAATTTGTTTTTGAGCAGACTGTTCTCACATCTATTTTACATCTGATGAAAAAGTTTTAAGCTTTCAGTATCATTTAAAAATTTCCCCCAGATAATCACTTGCTCCTTATGGAGTCTGGTTATTTTATTTATACTCAAATTCACTTAGAATATGCCAAATGCAATACTAACACTCTGAATAATAAAACATATTATTTTAAAAAATTAATATACATGCATTGCTGGAAACTCAGTTCTAATATAAGGCTACAACTGACAAAAACTTTTTTTTTTGACAAAGACATTTTAAGTAAACAGTCTGTACAATACATTGTGTTATAATCTATACAATATACACAGTTGTACAGAACACAATTCCTGTCCCTTTGAACTTATTTTCCAGACACACAGAACAAAGGGATCTTACTGCCAAGAGGTAGATGTTTTGCTTTAATTTATTCCGATCAGTCTATATCTAGATGGGGTAAAAAAAGTTTAAATTCTTAAATATGATATTGCATCTCTCTCTTTTCTGGCTTTTGAAATTGTAATAGTGTGAAAGTATAAATATACGTATAAAAAATTACTTATGAATTTTAATAATGAATAAATTATAAAATACATACAAATGAATTGTCTATTAGAATACCCAACTAATGAAAAAGTCTACTAAATACCTAATTCTACTTCTGATGCCTGAGAAATGAGTTATATATCATTTGCATGTTAACACATTAGTTGAGATGTTTTATTAACAGTGTCACTAAAATGGTCTTTTAATTAACCATAGTCCAAGAATTTTTACATGTTCTTGTATTTTAATTCCTATTATATTTAGATATCTCCTTAAAATAGTAGCCTTCTCTGTTAGCAGTAAAAAGCAGCTTTATTTCAAAATGCTTTTCAGCCTTGATATTATTTGAGAACATAAGGATAGACTGATGACCGCTTCTCCTAAACTTACGTCCACTAAAAAGATTAGTATTATTCACATCTAGTCAATATGAATTTTACCTGTTCACCCTACTGAAGTTCATCAAATCTAAGACACCAATGACTGTGAGATACACCATTATACTGTACCACTATGAAAGAAGAAAAAATACTGCCAATTAAACCATGACAATGCCTTCATAATACCATACAGAAATCAGAGCAATCATCCCACAGAAGGAACTGACTATTTCTCCTGGCTGGGACTGCACTGCTTGATGTGTGTGAGAGCAATCCTTTTCATATATATCTTAGTAACAAAAAACAACACAGCTTTATTACTAGTGTCTTCCTTTCTTAGGTTCCATAAAATGTTTGGATGTTGCTTTGCAAGAAAATACAGGATTGAGGTCATTACTCCAACAAGGAGGAATTCACAAAAATCAAATTTATACCCCATTGCTTCATCTCAGTGTATTTCTACCTATACAACAATAATTTTATTGGCATAAAATTTATATACAGTAAGATGTACAAATAGATGAGTTTTGATAAATGTATACCCAGTGGAAGCACCCTTCCAATCAAGATATAAAACATCTGCATCAACCCAGAAAGTTTCTATATGCACATTTCAGACAATCTCCATCTCCCTTCACCCAATAGTCAACCACTGTTCTGGCTTTCCATCACCATAGATTAGCTTTGCCTGTTTTGGAAATTCACACACATAGAATCATACAGGATGTACTCATTTGTACCTGGTATCTTTCATTCAATTTAATGTTTCTTTTTTTTTTTGTCTTTTTGTCTTTTTCCGTGTCCGGCAACAGATCGCAACCCTCAGTGTTGCCCCCGTACCGGACCGGGGACCGGCAACGGGATCGCAACCCTCGGTGTCGCTCCCGCGCCTCGCTCAGCCAGTGAGCGGGAACCGGTCTGCATGTGGGATCCGAACCCTCGGGCGGGAGCGCCGCCGCGCTTCCCAAGCAGCGCACTATCCAGTGCGCCACCGGGCCGGCCCTTAATGTTTCTGATATTCATCCATGCTTCAGGGTGCATCAGTAGTTCATTCTTTTTTATTGCTGAATAGATTTCTATTATATGAACATACCACAATTTGTTTAACATTACCCTGCTGGTGGACATTTGGGTGAATCTTAGCCCATTTGGGATGCTATAACAAAAACATCATAGAATGGGTGACTTATAAACAATAGAAATTTATGTCACAGTTCTGGAGGCTGAGAAGTCCAAGATCAAGATGCTGGCACATTTGTTACCTAGTGAGGGCCTATTTCCTAGTTTACAGACAGCTGTCTTTTTGCTGTGTCCTCACATGGCAGAAGGGGCAAGGGAGCTCTGTGAGGTCTCTTTCATAAGGGCACTAATCCTGTCATGACCTAATTACCTCAAAAGTCCCTACCTCCTAATATCATCAAATTGGTGCTTAGATTTCAACATATGAATTTTGGGGAGACACAAACAGTCTACAGCAGGGTGTTTCCAAAATTTGGGTTATTACAAATAAAGCTAATACAAGCATTCTTATATAAATACTTTTGTGGACATATGCTTTCATTTCTCTTATGGAAAAAAAAAAACTTTGAGTGGAACTGTTAGATCATGGGATATGTTTAACTTTGTAAGAAACTTCCAGAAAGTTTTCCAAAGCAGCTCTACTATTTTACACTCTCACATGTATGAGAGTTCTAGCCTTTTTTAATTTTAGTCTTTCTAATAGGTGTGAAGTACTATCTCATCATAATTTTAACTTTTTGTTTTCCTCAGTGACTAATGATACTGAGCATCTTTTCATGTGCTTATTAGACATTTCATGAAGTGTCTAAGTCTTTGGCTCATTTTTAATTGAATCGTCTTTTTAATAGCATTATGTAGGAGTTCTTTACATATTCTAGATACAAATATTTTGTTAGAAATATGCAATGGGAACATTTTCTCCCAGTATGTGGCTGGCCTTTTCATTTTCTTAATGGTGTCTTTTGATGAGCAGATGTTTTAAATTTTAATTAAGCCCAACTTATCTTTTTCTTTTATGATTCATCCTTAAAAAAAAAAAAACTTTGTCTAATCCAAGGTAATGAAGACATTATCTTATGCTTTCTTCTAGAAGCTTTATAGTTTAGTTTTTATGTTTGGGTGTATAATACATCTTAAATAAATTTTTGTATATGATTTTAGGTAATGGTTGAGAGTCATTCTCCACCCCACCCCACTGCCATCCACTTATGAAGTTGTTCCAGTATCAGGCTTTCTTTTGTTCCTCAACTGAACTGCCTTGCAGTCTTTGACAAAAACAGTGTAGGTCCATTTCTGCATTCTCCATTACTTTCATTCATCTATCTATCTTTACATCACTACCACAATGTCTTGATTACAGGAGCTTTATATAAATCTTGAAATCAGGTAGTGTGAATCCTACTACTTTGTTCCTCCATAATAACTGTTTGCTTCAATGCTAAATCACAGCCTATCTTTCTGAAGACATTTTAAACTACATTTAAATTCAATACTTATAGTACCATCTATGCACATATCTCAGAACTGATGAAACTATGAACTGCACATGCACTATTTTGTGCACGTACAGATAATAAAAAAATATGTCAGGACTGCCACTTAGTCACAGCAATCCTTTTTTTAAATTATTTTTATTTTTTTTCCTTTTTGTCTTTTTCCGTGTCCGGCAATGGATCGCAACCCTCAGTGTCGTGCCTGTACCGGACCGGGACCAGCAACGGGATCGCAACCCTCAGTGTTGCTCCCGCACCTCGCTCAGCCAGTGAGCGGGAACCGGTCTGTATGTGGGATCCGAACCCTCGGCGGGAGCGCCACCACACTCCCAAGCGGCGCCACTGGGCCGGCCCTAGTCACAGCAATTCTAAGATGCCATCAATTATAAGACATATTCCAATTCTGGAAATCATGAAAAATAAATGTGTATCTCAGAATCAATAAAGTATATAATGCTCTAGCCAACTAAACTTAATGAAAGTTATGACCATAGTGCTATGTATTACAGCACTATCAATTCAGCTACTCTAGGTGAACTGTCAATTATCAATGTATCCTATTCCACT